TTAAAGACTGTCATGGCTTAGATATGAGGTGTCCCCCAAAATTCATGTGAGAGGTAATGCAAAAAGTTAGAGGTGAAATAAATGGGTTAACCTAATTAGTGCATTAATGCACTTGAGTGGATTAATTGGGTGGTAACTGTAGGCAGATAGGGTATGGCTAGAGGAGATAGGTCACTGAGGGCATACCTTTGGAGTTTATATTTTTTCCCAGGAGTGGAGATGTCTGCTTGCTGATTACCATGTCTGAGTTGCTTTTCTCCTCCACACACTTTTGCCATGATGTTCCGTCTCACTTTGGCCTAGAGCGACGGAGTCCGCCAACTATGAACTGAGACCTCTGAAATAAACTTTTCTTCCACTAATTGTTCTGGTCAGATCTTTTGACCATAAATCTGACTAAAACAAAGATCAAAAATAACTCTACATGGGGTGGAATATTCATGTGCCTGAGTCACTGAGGACATTAAATGAAAACCCAGACATCAGGGGCCTGCAGTCATTTCTTATGTTCACTCACCTTGTGGCTGCCAGCATTAATATTGCAAATAAAGGACACATCTACTGAACATATTCTTAAACTTTTCTGGGGCATGAGCAACAACTTACAATTGCCAATTCCTCAACACATCACATATGAGACAGGAAGCATTAGTTGGTCATGGACTATACAAGTAGGGACCCAGTGGTTCACTCTACTGACACCTTGTGGAGAGAGAGAATATCTAAATTTAAAGTAAAGCCTACTGTGATGGGAACCTGGCCCTCACAAGTACAGGGGGTATTACCCTCAGGAGTCATCACTTGAGGAACACTTTGTATCAGTTATGGCAGTTATGTATTTCAGAGGTATATTTCTTTCTATGCCCCCAAAGTGCAAATAGATTGGTCTGGTGTACTTGCCCAGGCAAGCCTATTGTACTGGTTACTTAACTAACACATTATGGTACAGTGGCCTGTATTCTGCCTCATGGAGCTATGTTGCCATTTTTGGTGCCTATTAAATACCAGTCATATTTGCCATAGGTTAACAACAAGTTTTCCTGGACTGGACAACATATATTGCATATTACTCCAAACAGACTATTAGAATGCTTAGAACTCCCTGTGACAGCAGCACAAGGACTTCCCTGGGTAGTATAACCTACAAATGAGATATAATGGACTTGGTTGAAATAACTGCACTGAAAATACTCACAAAATGGCCATCACATAATTATTCTCAACCAAGGGTTTTGCTTTAATTAGAGAGACACTGAATACTTCTCAAGTACCTGGGCACACTTACATATAGAATGGGCTTTCATGGGATATAGCAATTCAAGTTATAGTTAAAAAGACAGTATTCCATTTTGTCACCCAATAGGTTCCTGATAACCAGACACGGAGCTTTATGCCTGACTCTGGGTAAAAACAGTGAATTCAGCAGATATCCTCGACCTGTTACTCACAGGCTTTCCCCCTGCCATGGGGTGCACTATGGATACGTGGGCCTATGGATGACCTTGCCTATCTTACAATTGGACAGGATGGTGTACTAGCCCAGCCTTAGTTCTGCCTCTTTTAATATGTATAATAGTGACGGGGATAACATCAAGGTACTTCACACAAGGCAGTGCTACGCTGTGCCTCCTGGTGGTTCTATCCATTAGCTATTCTTTCTCCACAAGCTGCAATGATGGTGGAAACACTCAGGTCTCAGCTTTACCCTCCCACACTGCCCAAACTGTCAGTCAGACTAAACATGCCATATCCTTGACAACTGAGGACAACACTCAGATTTTTTAAAAAAGGTAGTTTTATAAAATAGGATGGTACTAGTTAGGCTAATGGCTGCCCAAGCTGGAGTATGTGCAGTCTTGGAGACAGAATGCTGAGGATATATACCTGGTAATGAACACAATATTGCCCATACTTTACCCCTAGTGTCTAAAAAAAATGATGCCTTGATGTCTTTCAGTTGAACCATTCTCTGTTTAACTTCCTTTCCTTTGACATGGCGCTATACCTTTTTGTGTTCTCTTAATAACCTTAGCATAATTGCTGATAGGCTCTTGCTCCTTGTACTGCTGCTGTAGGATATAGAAACAACATGCTTCCAGATCCCTGTCCTGAGGGCTTTGCAGAAGATGGGAGGCAGTAGAAGATTGTAAGGGACACTAAGGGGCTTCCAAAGCACTGAAGGGATGGAATGTTGGGGTAAACACTAATTGGTGCCTGGAAGACTTGTTCCTGGTTGTGAGATAGAAAAACTCTAAGGAATATAATTAAGGAAGAGGAGAAGGGAAACCAACCACTTTCCTTATTTCCAATCTTTAGGTAGGAATCAAAGCAGAGTGATCTTGGTTGTAAAGTAAAAGATTATGCTAATAAAAAATCTGAAGAACTCTGTCTACCCAGCAGGCATGACCTGCATTGTTTACAAGTCTGCTGTGCCAAAGGAGTAAGTAATAAATTGTCTGAATCTTCGCTTCTCAGTCCTCCAAGTTCTTTCTGTGAGATTGGTAAACAGTATGTGGGGGTTTTTGTAGCCCTGGGGTTGAAAAGTTTCCTTAATAATAAACCAGTAAATATAATAAAAATGTTTCCCTGAGTTCTATAAGCCATTATAGTAAGTCTTCTAACCTGAAGAAAGTTTATGGGAATCTCCAGCCTATCACTAGTCAGTCAAAAGGCTGAGAGCCCCAGATTTTTCCATGCTCATAAAAAATAACAGAAGTCTGAGGAACTGAGCCCTTTAACTCTTGGGATCTGATGCTAACTCTAGGTTGATATTGTCAGAACTGAAATGAACTGTAGGACACCTTGGTGGTGCCAGAAAATTGATGAGAGTCTGGTGTCAGAAGGCTTCTCTGTGAATAGAGAAACTTTTTCTCAGAATATGTATGTATATTTCATATATATATATATATATATATATATATATATATATTTTCTACATGTGTGTATGTATCTAGGAAGCAACCCAATGACATACCACCTTTATTAAGAATCTTTTAAAATTCTACTCAAGTACATAAAAGATATTGATATTGCAGGTTCACCAATATTTCATTCCAGTTTTCTCCACCTGATCTGCAGAACCCTCATAAACCTAATCAAAACTTATACGTAAGTATATAGATCTAAATGGCTAAATCAATTTGGGCAGAGATTAGGCACAATAAAGGTGACAATATGGGTAGGCAAGGAAGTTACCATATGATATTTTAACATTTGCAATGCTAAAGCAATTAAATCAATATGACACTAATTTAATAATAGGCAAATCTGTAAAACAGAAAATATATGAAAAATATACCCATGTTGTGAAAACTTAACTTATGATAAAGGTGGCACCACTACCAAAGAACCTGTAATTTAGGTTGTGATATTGGTAAAATTACTTCATTATATGAAGATAAATTGAATTGGGCATCTTTCTCTCTTGCACTATATATATATATAAATATAGTTAAGATGATTTTAAGACTATAAGCAAAAAATAAAACTGTAAAACTTTTATCCTAAACCTGTTAGAATAAAACCTATAAGGCAATATTTTTATAAATTTAGAATTTGAAAATGCTTTTTAAATGTGACCACTCATTACCATACACCCAAACCATAAGACAAAAAAGTTGTTATGTTTTAGTGCAATTTTTAGGATTTCACTTCATAAATATAGAAAAGTTAAACAACATAGATTAGAAGATAATTATGTCATCAATTATAGGCATATCATTATATAAATTATATCATTGTTTCAATTATATCATACTGCTTATTACATTATATCAATATAATATTATAAATTATAATTTACATAGTCATCATCCAAATCAGCAAGGCAAAGAGGAAAATGGGGTACAAAAAAAGAATCAGCATCTTGAAGTAGAAATCTAAATAACTAAAAATTAGTTCAGATATGCTTAACTTCACTCACCAGGAAACCACACTAAACATCAATGAACCACCATTTTACACCAACTGGAACAGTCAACATTTGAAAGTTAGATAATTCCAAGTGTTTGGGAAGCTATAAAGTGGGGGGCAGGACACTGAAGCAGTGATGGTATGAGAACAACTCTTAAACACTAGCTGTACTTGGTGTCTTTATATATGCATGTATTTTAAGAACCACACCAAGGCATAGAGCACCACCATCTGAGTGAAATGCATAATGAAAAAGGAAAATGCATATTGTAAAAAACATATCTGTCATATGCCTATGGTGAGTGAAAGTAGGAGATGAAATTTAATACAAATGAGTAAATAAATAAAGTAAAGCAAGAGAGAAAGCTTGCTCCAGCTCATAATGATAAAACGTAATGAACTACGATTAACTTAATTCTGCTTCTGAATTTCAATGAGACAAGAAGAAAGGGGAGCAGGTGGGCAACTGTGTTCAGGATTGTTTATTAGGCATGAAGAATGCTATAACTGAAAGAGCACATGTTTAATATACCTAAGTTTGGAGCAAGGCTCTGCAATTTCCTAGTTTTAGGAAACCATTACTTGTATCTCACAGTAGCCTTGCAAAAGAATTTTGGGCATTTACCATTTATGCCCATTTTTATTAAAGAAAAATTGAGCTTAGAAAGATCAAGGGACCCTGGTAAAAAAGGGGGCTTCTAGTAGTTTTAAATTCTGCTGTCCTGTAAGCTAAACCAGATGAGGTGGCTGCTATGCAACTATTCTTTACCTATCTAAACAACCATTTCATAAGGCTAACCCTAAAATGAGCATGTATCTCATCTTGCACTATACAATGAAAGATCCACTTATTCTGAGAAATAATAAAGGAAAATAGCAAAGGATAGGGAAGGAAAGAACAAAAGATGAACATCCATATTATTAACTTTAAAATTTTGTAAGATTCAACAATGTTTAATGCAAGATCCTTAATAAATGTATATTAGAGCACAGAGTTCTTAGATATCATAAGCCTCAAATTACTTAGAAAAAAGTTACTATAAWAAATTACCAGAAAGAAATCCAAATAAAGAAAATAATTATTGTACCTCAGGAGAACCATATATCCAGGTATGGCAGCTAAAGAATAAATAAAACTGCTAATTGTCGACAAGATTAGAAAGTACTGGAGCATCATGGAGCAGTCATGGCCTTTGTCACAAAGCCCAAGAACTGCAGATGAATTTCCTGATGTTCGAATGCAGCTACAATTTTGAAACACCTGTCAAAAATAATATATACTATTTAAGAATATGTTTAATAATTTTGAACACAAATCTCAATTTTTTTTATGTAGTCAGTTGGATCAAGATGGAGACTGCTGGGGCTGGGGGTGTAGCTCAATGGTAGAGCACTTGACTAACATGTATGAGACTGTACTACTCACACACACCAAGGGAAAAAAGTATGGACAATGCTTATCCCTATGTTCCCATCTCCTTTATGGTCTCTCTAAGGATTATAGCATAAAACAAAGCATAGAAGTATAGTTTCAAAATATGACATTTTAAAAATTTGTTCTAATTTGTAATACATGATAACAGAATGCATTTCAACTAATTGTACACAAATGAAACACAACTTCTCATTTCTCTGGGAATACAAGATGCAGTCACACCGTTTGTGCAATCATACATGTACATAGGGTAATTATGTTTGTCTTGCTCCACCGTCTTTCCCACCCTCTTCCCCTCCCCTCCTTCCACTCCCCTCTGCCCAATCTGCCAATTTCAAAAAACCAAATGCCAAATGTTTTCTCTGATATGTGAATGCTGATCCATAATGGGGAAGGGGGAGGGAAGAATAAAATAAATGGTATTTTATGTAAATACATGAAGTAAATCTGCAATAGCTCAGCTATTCTAAATTCACACTTTTAAAAAAACAAACACTTACCTGCCACAATACAAAGTATGAACAACAAAATTTGTTTGATTGTTCAAATGTCTACACATAAACAAAGCTGTGTCCTCCCAAAATATGGTTTATTTTAAAAACAGACTAAAGTCATCACTTTTGAATTATTATGTTTCCCGATCTCATTAATAATAAAATTTGTATTTTACTTTGGTCACCAGCCAACCTTATAAGGTTGAACATTCTTGAGGCAAGAAGACATGCCTAACTCTATCTATCTTGTTTTAAAAAAAAAAAACTGTTTTCATGTGAAAAACACAAAAAGCACTTACATAAATATACACAGAAAACAGAAGAAAAAACACAGCAGTTTGAAAACAAAATTGAGAACAAAATTGCCAACTTCTTTCTCAATGATAAATTGTTTTCTGTCCAGTATATTTTTAACCCAAATTATTTTAATAATAATCTAAACTGGCTTAAAATTACAGATAAGTACTCAGACACTGTGAAGGCATTACATAGATCTGAGATGTGAAAAGGTAACAAAGTGTGCATATAGAAGGTAATTTAAGTTATACAAATAAAAAAAAATCTGGCTTTAAGAAAAGACTAAATTTGTTTTTAGCAGATATAGGTCCAGTTCAAAGTTAGAAAATGCTAATACAATACACAGAAGTTCTGTCAAAAAGCCAGTAGGATGTATTACCATGTTCAATCCAGTTCCAAAGGATGTCTCACAACCAGCAAGACACGCTGACATATATGATAAATCATTGTCAATACATAGAAGTTCTGTCAAAAAGGCCAGTAAGATATGTTACCATGTTCAATCCAGTTCCAGAGGATGTCTCACAACCAGCTAGACAAGCTGACATATATGATAAATCATTGTCGCCACATACAGGATCCCATGTTTTAGTTGGACAGTTGCAAGCTCTATTGCAGTCATCAAGGACTTTATTTCCCACATATAAATCTTGTTGGATTCTGAAATGATTTAAAATAATACCATGGATACTGAAACACTATTCAAGATTTGTTTTTTCTTCTTTCTATCTTAATCCCCAATTATGTTTCCTTCCCTCCATCAAAATAGAAAAAGAAATCTTCTATCAATGTGTGAATTGCCTACTATAGTTCTGGTGTAAAAGATAACCACGTGCAGTGTTACAAAGCCACTTTTTCAATGATTTATTTTAGAAAAATACAATCCATAAACAAGCACTAAGTGCCTACCATGTGGGAYGCATTTAATTTTTTTTTTTAGTTATAGATGGACACAATGACTTTATTTATTTTTATGTGGTGCTGATGATCAAACCCAGTACCTCATCTGTGCTAAGAAAGTGCCCTAGCACTGAGCCACAACCCCAGGCCCATGGGACACAATTTTCTGGATATTATTAGAACTAAAACATGAAGATGACCTAATCTCTAAGGTTGATCCATGTGGGAGAAAATAATGAGAGAGCTAACTTGAAGATCAAAACCTGCTTTTTCCATTTATAATGCATTTACTTCAGAAACAAAGTCACGTGAGTAAAAAAAAAAATCATTCTTCTAGTTTAGTACCCAGTACTTATAATTGTGATCATGCACTAACTAATATAAGAGTCTAGAGAACGAATTCAAATCCTGTGACTAAACCAAAGTGTGGCCTTCCACACGTACTCTCTGGAAATCAGCATAATTGGAGATGCAGACAATCTTTAAGATTCTTTGCAATTTTAAAACCCACATTTCTATACTGATATGGTTGAAGAGGTTTTTTGAACTTCTCTAATCTTCCATTTCTTCATCTATAAAATGGAAATAATAATGCTTATGTTAAGCGGAGCTTGCAAGATTCAAATCAGATAATATATGCATAATATTTACARGGTTATAAAATATATAGATAACAAATCCTAATATAATCTATAGGTAGCTTCCTTTATGTACATTTTAATGTCCACTAGTATATCACAAAGACTACCAACTATACACATACACACACAATCATAAACTCATTCACCCTGTGATGTTCACTACTTTTTTAATAAACCTAGAGTTTGAATGGATTGGTAAAGGAAAGATGCAGGATTGATAGGTAAAGGAAAGATGCAGGATGACCATGTATCACTGCCATTAACTCCTAAAAAAAATTATTTGGCTTTGTACAACCACTAGAGAAAATATGCGACTAACAGTCTGTTGAAAGAATATCACATTTACTAGAAAAAAAAAAAACATACCCTGCATAAGAGGTAGTTATGCCAGCAACTGGAGAATTATCACAAGTCGCAAGAAAACATAAAAAATAGAGAAGGTACTCAATTACAGATAACCAACATCCTATGTGGGCAGCTTGTTTAACGGTAATCTTGAACTTCTTCATAATTAAACCACCAGCAATATATCCAATGCATATTGGAGGTAAGTTATAAATACCTATAAATGCAAGTAAAATGTTATTTACAAATTAACAACAACAAAGAACAAATATGTTATCATTTTTGCCTAATATGTTTTACATAAGAAAGTATTTAGGTTGAAGTAGTGGTGATTTTAACCCTACTCAGTTACACTTCATGTACAGGGAGATTTCAAAGTGACTCATAATGTCAAGTATATTTTTTAAAATTATTATTATCATTCATTTAATTATTCACAATAGGTTTTCAATTTCTTATAGTCAGGTATCGTGATCAATGCCTCTTTTATTAGGATATACATAGGAGTAGCAAGTCCAAGTTGACCAGTAATTTATTATATCACTCTCTAGTGTGTGGGATGGGAATATATACATATATAAGTATCATATATACATATATATATATATATATATATATATATATATATATATAGTAGTTCAGTTATTTACTCCCACTTTGATTATTAAGAATTTGACTCTTCCTGAGTTCAATCCCTGGAACAACAACAAAACAAAACAAAACAAAAAAAAGAATTTGACTCAGTTCAAGGTACTTTGGAAAGTCATTCTGCTGAAGCTGTGGCTGTTGTGTGTGGCTATATTTCATATTTTGCTGTGGTAACCAGCATTCTTCTTTCCCAGCTCTTTGTCCCCTTCTCCAATACAACAAAAGGAAAAAGCAAAAGGGAAAGACAGCCCTAGGCTGCTTTGTATAATATCTGCATCACTGAATCATATTCTTGGATGAACTTGTTAAAACTCAAGGCATTTAGGCACATATAGCCTGGGATAGTAATTTTTTAGAAGAATAAAAAGATCTCAGGAAAAAAAACCCAGGCAAGGTAGAATCATTGGGGTTAGGGTAGTTACAGGAAAGGCAGAAAGTATATAGACACAGAAATATCTAAAACCATCAGGCGACCAAGGAACTACATTAGGAGAATATGGAATCCAAGAATTTAAGCCAAAAGAGTAAAACATAAGAGTAAAACACAGAATCCTAATGAGTTAACTCTAATCCTTTATAAATTAATGAACTGCCTATCTGAAAATTCACTAATGTTTGCATTTCCCAAGATTTCCATAAACATTATGAATTTCTATTCTGACTGGAGAGAGAGCAGAAGAGAGAAAAAAGACAATTTCTGACCTCTTCCCCTTCATACACTTCCTTAATTTTCCTAGAGAGTGGAAAGAGAAAATTTAGCAGAGACAGGAATATCCTAAAAGACTTCAATTTAGGAGTTTCCTAATCCCTTTGTCACATTGTTCACCATTTCATGGGGGGGAAAGCACGCCAATAACTCAGAGAGAAACAAACATACCAATGAGAAAGATTGCATCAGAAGTTGATTTTCCATATTGTTGTTCCAGATATTTAGGCATAAAGGAGAACATGCTAGCAAATGCATTGAACTGTAACACACTTATAAGTATGAAAAGCATGTAAATTGGATTGCAGGAGAGACTTTTCATGAATGGTAAAAAATCTGAAATGAAAGAATGATAGTGTCAGATCAACTTGGCTTTGCATTTTGTGGCAGGTGTTTTCCTGAAATATCAACCTCCCTCCCCGATTATACTTTGTAATGCACATATATCTGTTCATTTTTTTTACTACTTGTAAGCTGAAGATATATAAGCTGAGTGGCTTCTGGAAATCAGTGATACACCTGACTGGGTAGAATTAGAACACAATAGTTTTACCTTCCCTAAGTCATTATTTAAGCAAATTTTTTTAAAAGAGAGAGAGAGAGAATTTTTTAATATTTATTTTTTAGTTCTTGGCAGACACAATATCTTTGTTTATATGTGGTGCTGAGGATAGAACCCCAAGCCGCACGCACACCAGGCGAGCGCGATACTGCTTGAGCCACATCCCTAGCCCAATTTAAGCAAAATCTTAAAGAGACAAATATAGGGGCTGGGTTTGTGACTCAGTGGTGGAGCACTTGCCTCAAATGTGTGAGGAACTGGGTTCAATTCTCAGCACCACATATAAATAAATGAATAAAATAAAGGTCCATAAATACTAAAACAAAAAATTTTAAAAAGAGACAAATACAGCATCTGGGTCCACACCATTTCTTTTTTATCCTTTTCTTTTTTCTTCTATTAATATCCTCTCTTCTCTAGAGATTTCCTAGAATGGAAGATGCTTTTACTCCACAATCTGGAAGGAAATCACTTTGATAAAGAAGTATGTATTAAAATATAGAAACCATCACTCCCTGAATATTTAAAATGAAGACATGGGAATTAATGGGATAAAAGTTTGTTTAAGTACCAGAAATTTTTCTGCTTCTTCAGAACAACAATTTCAATGGTTGTTTCAACAGTTCACAATGGGATGTATATTAGAACTACCTGGAGATATTTGTTAAACCATATGCAGGCTCTGTTCACATAGATTTTGATTCATTTGGTACATAATAAGGATAATATAAATGATTTAACCAAAATTTTTTTTCTGCTTTAATTTGTGGCCTGTCTATGGTAAATGGGTTGAGTCACATTGCAGCTATTTTGGCTCAAATTCTAATTTCTTTTCACTTTTTCTATCTTCACGTTCTCTGTCTCAATTTCCTTGTTTTGTACTGTCCCAGTTTACTTCATATTAACTGCCAATAAACCATTTGGTAGAAGAGGAAGCACAGCTTAATGCAAAGAAATAAATCCAACTTGTAGAATTCCTGCTTAAGAATAAGGTCCATGAAGGTCCATGCAGAGGAGGGAGATGTGGTCAAAACTCTTTGGGGCTTTTTCTTTTTTTTTTTCTTTTTTGGGGATTGAACTCAGGGTACATGACCACTGAGCCAAATTCTCAGCCCTATTTTTGTATTTTATTTGGAGACAGGGTTTCACTGAGTTACTTAGCACCTTACTGTTGCTGAAGCTGGCTTTGAACTCGTGATTCTCCTGTCTCACCCTCTGAGCCTCTGGTATTACAGGTGTGTGTCACTCGGCTCTTTGGGCTTTTTAAGTCACCCATTTTTAGTGACATCCCTGTCCTAATAGAAGAGTCTTGATAGTTCAAACCTATTTAACATATTTTATCCTACTCTAAGCTCTTCCCTAGTTTTGAAAGTTGATCTTGCAAACCACAAAAAATATTCTGTGTTAATATTCTCTATCAGTCTGTATTAGCCCTTTTAGAAGAATTGTTATTATAATCATGATTCTTAAAATTTTCAAGATTATAAACCAATTCTAATCTTCCAATAAGTATTAAATAGCGTTTAATTGTGCTGCAAGTGAATTTGTGATTGTTAATAAAAATTAATGTGTAAATTGGTATAAGAGCTTGTGAATTATGGTAAAATAACAACATCAACAATGAAAATATTAGTACTAATAGGAATAAAATAGGAACATGTACCAGAATTCCTTTCACCTGTACACAATAACTCTATAATAAAAGTAATGCTATTATTGCCATTTTACAGATAATGAAACAGCCCCCCCCCATCACCACCCATCTTCCAAATAAATACTCTTTAAGAATTCTAATGCCCAGGCTACATTCCCTAAGAATTAACTCAAACTTCCTGAGAATACTGCACTACTTTCAAGCATCAGTAAATTCTAAAACTCGTAAGTGATTCCAATGTATGCCATGTTTGGGATACAAATGCTATATACTAAAATTATCTACACTGAGTTTCCCACCGAAACATCTTCTTGAACTTTGATTAAAGATCTATATAAAAAATACTACATGAATTATGCTCTTGCATTCGCTGAAATTCAGTATGTTGCTCAATGTTACTTGTATCATACATCATATGATGATATTTTTTCTACACTTTTATACTTTGTTATTGAGGGAACAATTTCTCTTTAAAAATTATCATTCACCCCTTTATCAAATATAAAGAATCATATTATCTATAATGTTTCCTTTTTCTGCCTTAAACTCCAGGAAGCTCACAGCTAAGCTAAAATTTTGGTTATAGAACTATACTACCTATTATGATTAGTGTATATTTTTTCCTACTATTGTTCTTAGTTTTAATTTCTACTTGTTCATTTTTTAATTAGACTTATGTTCTCTATAGAACAGATTGTTTTAAAGCAGATAGGACCAAATATATTTGCTTATTTGGAATTCCAAGAATGATTTCAATTTTTATATAAAGACTGAGATAAAACAGCTTTCAAATTACATGATTGGTTTTCAAAGATTAGCACAGGAAGAATCAGAGTAGTTAGATATTATTGACTTGTGACCAGTAATAACAAAATATCTTAATAGCATACATCTGCAACATAATATATTATAGTGCTAAGCTAAAATACAGATACACCTATATAAAATGAAAGGTAAATTATGGTGTTTAAAATGTTTATATTTGCCTTTAGTGATTCCATTCTTTTCCTTCTTGACCTCTCCTCTCTGTATTTCTTCTTTGTCATTTTTAATGATGTCAGCATTACCCTCTAGTCCCTCCTTTGGAAGCGTTTTGGGCAAAAAGAAAAAAGGAATGGCAGTGAGGACATTCACTCCTGCACAGATCAAAAAGCCAAACCACCATGCACCAACCCAACGAGTATCAGTGGGAGTTATGGTCAGAGCATCTGTAAAGAAAAGTATATATTTATATTAGCTTATGTCATACCTCTTGTATAAAATACATAAAATTATTAAAATTATAATTCTCAGGTTCATTGAAATAGAAAATTTTCATACAATTCAGACATTTATAAACTTATCTAAGGTTGATCAATGGGTATTAAGTTAAAGTTAGGAGCAAGAAGTCTTGGTGAGCTATTGCACAGTAAGGTGACTATAAATAACAATTGTACTATACATTTTGAAAAGTTACAAGAAAGGATTTTGAAAGTTTTCCTTTTAAAGAAAAGAGAAATAGATATTATACAATATATACATATATCAAAACATCACATGGAATCCCATTAGTATGTATAATTTTTGTTTTACGTATCAGGTAAAATTAATTTAAAAAGATTTGTCTGACAATGTGTACTGCTATTATATAAATAATAAAGCAATAAATTGGCCTTGATTATCTATCATATCACATAAAGAATTTATAACTAGGTACTTAATAAATAACTGAAAGGTCTATTTCAGTATCCACAAGTAATCCCTTGAGTACAAAAAAGTAAAACTTATGTTCTTAAATCTTTTGAAACCAAAATATGGCTGCAATACGACAGAAAGAGTAATGGACTTTGAATCAGAAGATCAGCATTTTATCTTCCTCTACTATTTACTCCACTTTGGTTGGCTGATATAAACTTGAAATAATCTATCTTTGAGAGGGTCAAATAGGACAACAATTACATGCAATTACATTCATAAGATACTTTGCATGCTCTGACACTGTTTAAATAGATTTTATTGAATTACCTGTGTTTACAGATCCAGTGTCTACATAAATGTTTGCACAGAATGACGCTAACAAAAGTCCAATCAAAGGACCAATGATAGCTCCTGTTTCTATAAACCCTAAAAAAAACCAAAAATACAAAGTTATAGTATAGTTATATACTCACATAGAGTCTGGTTCTATGAAAAGACTGAAGTTTTCATTTTTTAAAAACAAATTTTAAATTTTTATTTATTTTATTTATTTTTTAATTTTTGAGAGGGGTTGTGCTAGTTGTTGAATGTAGGGATTTACTCATGCTAGGCAAGTGCTTTTTTGCTTAGGTACATCCTAGTTATTTTAGATATTTTCGACTGAGATATTCAGCTTATAAGAAAAATAAACCTGGGGTGTTTATAAAATAACACTGATTTTGTAAATGTTGAAAAACAAGCTGCTATTTTTTGAATCTGCGATGTCCTCTAAAGCTTCATAGGTTAGAGGCTTAGTCCCAAGTTTGGCACGATTAGGAGTTGGTACAACTTTTAAGATGTGAGGATTATTGGAAAGTCTTCAGGTCATATGAGCCATGCCCTAAAAGGGGTGATGAGACTCCAGTCTCTTCCTCTTTCTCTCTCACTTCCTGGCCATGAAGTAAGCAGTTTCATACACATGCTTCTGCATCATGTGTTGCCTCACTACAGGCCCCAAAACAACAAGGCCAATCAATCATGAACTGAAACCTGAAACTGAGAGCCAAAATAATCATTTTTTTCTTTATAAATTGATAGTATGGTTTAGATATGAGGTGCTCCCCAAAAGTTCATGTGTGAGATAATACAAGAATTTTCAGAGGCAAATGACTTGATTATAAGAGGTGTGACCTAATCAGTAGATTAACCTACTGATGGATTAACTGGGTGGTAATGTAGGAAGGTAGGGTATGGTTGGAGAAGTAGATTACTGAGGGTGAGCAGAGCTCTCTGTGCTTCCTCATTTCCATGTTCTGAGCTGCCTTCCTCTTCCATACCTTTCAGCCATAATGTTCTGCCTGACATTGGGCCCAGAGCAATGGTGATGGCCATCTGTGGAGTGAAACTGTGAATTAAAATAAACTTCTGCTCCTCAAATTTTTTTTGTCACAGTGACAAAAGAAAAAAAAAAAAAAAAAAAAACCTGACTAAAAACACTGATTATTTCAGGTACTTGTTAAAGTAACAGAAAGTTGACTAACATAGAAGCCTTATAATTTAAAGCCATTTTCTCAATACTTCCAAATTCTCTTTTATGCTGAGTAAAAGCTTTGCTCTAACAGCACAGGCACACAGGCATTCTATTGAAAAATCCATGATAAAGAACAAAATATTTTTGATGCTTACATAGCCATATTTTTAAAGAAATTCTAAAACAATATGTAAAATGAATTTTTATACATATTCCTCAGAAAAACATCACTCCAAATTTTCAATTTAAAATTCCTTGAAAATAATATGCCCTCATTATTATGGTACATCTCATTGATTTTATCACAGTCTCCTTTCTTATCCTTCACATTCTTATTTTCCACTTTCATCAGTCTCTTATATCCTCACTTGGCTTCTTAATAATTGAAAATTCATCAGCAGCCACCTTCTGATTTATCTACAATTCAGAATGTATGTTGATCCCTTTCTGATCACTGAAAATCCAGGCAGGAGCTTCTTCTGCCTACTTCAAATTTTGTCTCTGCATTTTGTCTGCCTTCTCCACAGTCTCAGCGCTGAAGCTCATCTACCCCATGTAGTCCTGACTTGTCTGGTACCAACCCCTTTTATATTATCTGTGGTCTTTATCTGCCTACCACTCCCTGTTCTATGCTTACTTCATATCCCCCCACCCAATGATTGCTACACTATCTCAAAAGCACTCTGCTTTATTTCCTTTCCCTGTATTCTATCTCCATTTCCTCACCTCCTTCTCACTTGCTCAAATCTCTTCACATTATACTCAAAAGTATAGGTAATAACTCTTTGTCACTAATCCAGTGCCTATCTTGGTCTTCATCCTGCTAACTCTGTCATTTGACATTGCTGACTAACTCTTGTCATTTTTCTCCTAGACCCTTCACAAAACTGTACATTCATTGCTTTACTTTTCCCCCTATAACTACTTTGTCTTTGATTTTTCTTCCTCTTATTCTACCTACTAAGTAATTTCCAGTATTTTACCCGAGAACCTCTCATTATACAAATGAACTTCCAATGACAACCTCATTTTTCCCTTCTAATTTCACTTATTATCTCTATGAAGATGATTCTCATGCTGTATACCTAACTTTCATATTCTCTCCTAAACTCCAGAGCCATCCATGGAACTATTTTATTGATGTCTAGGTATTAGATTTATAATTATTTCATTGTGCATACACACATGCAGATATATAACATTGATATAATTATGTAGTTATTTATTTATTAAACTCATTGTGGATATGTATCTTATTCATCTTAATATGTAGATAAATGATCATAGTTTTACATATTATGTACCTATTATGGTTTAGATGTGAGRTGTTCCCTAAAAGCTCATATGTGAGAGAGTACAAAATGTTCAGAGGCCAAATGATTAGATTATGTAATCTTTGACCTAATCAATGGGTTATTCCACTGAAGTGGATTAACTGGGTGGTAACTATATGCAGAAATATATGACTGGAGGAAGTAAGTCACCAGGGGTATGACTTTGAGGTTTATATTTTGTCCCCAGTAAACATCGCTTGCCCGCTCTCTTTTTTCTTTTTTTCCTCCTCTTCCTCTTCCTCCCTATTCCTCCTCCCCCTCTTCCTCCTTCTTCTTATTCTTGGTTGCCATGTCCTGAGCTGCTTCCCCCTATAATATCCTTCTGCCATGATGTTCTGCTTCACCTTAGGCCCAGAGCTATACAGCCAGCCAACAGTGGACTGAACCTCTGAAACCACGAGCCAAAATAAACTTTTCTTCCTTTAAATTGTTCTTGTTAGGTATTTTGATCATAGCAATGAAAAGCAAACTAAAACAGAAATTCATACCAAGGAGGAAGGTCACTGATGTTACTAACCTAAGCTGGTGGTTCAAAAGCCTTATGGAGTTTGTGAGAAGAATTTTGAGAAATTTGGAGATGCAAAGTATAAAAGATTTAGAATGTTGTAGGCAGAGCTTAACTGGTGATTCTAATTGGAGCACGAAAGACCAAAATGCTAATAGGACTGCGGATAGTAAAGACTGGGATCTTAAGGTTTTCAGAGGAGAAAGAAGACTAAACTGGAAATTGGACTAGAGGCTACTTATGTGGCAAAATTGTCATCTACATTTTGTCTATGTCCTGGGACATCCTGTAAGGATCGATTTAAAGATGATAAACTAATTAATTTGTTGGAGGAAATTTCAAGACAGCAAAAAATTCAGGGGGCAGTATGGCTATTGCTGGCAGCTTTTAGCTAAATTTACTGTGTTAATCAGGAGCAGAAAGCAGAGTAGAAAGATTTGAAAAACTTGCAGTTTGGCCACAAAAGTGTGAATAAAACTGAAGCCAAGGAAGTTGTGATTGTTAAGACATTACATCCACTAAAGAGATGCCAAGTACCTTACCCATAAACAATAGCTTGAATGCATCTCAGAAATGGATAAGACAATGCCTTTCACAGGCTCAAAGATCTCCTTTGAAAAGAGATCCTGGGGGCATCTTGCTTGCACAGTGGGGCCTAGTAAGTTGTTTCACTGTGCTCAGTCATCCAAACACTCAGAGGCTGCTGAAGCCATCATCCCAAGAGGTTTGGCTACTGCTCAAGATGGTGGCAGACCTTGGCATCAACCACATGGTCCTAGTTCTGCAGGAATGAGATGCTATAGTTATGATGACAGGGAGGTTTCCACTGAGATTTCATATGAAGGCTAGGAAGAATGTAGCAGATTCAGAGTCCCTGTGGGCTGTCCCTGAAAGGGTGATGCAGGAAGATGTAAGAAGGAAGCCAAAGCTACAAAGAAGACTCCTCTGAGATCAAGAGATGCCAGTAACATGGAATATCTGTCAAGGAAGCTGCAAGAACCTACAGAGATAACCTAAGAGAGAGGCCATGTGGACTGCAACCAGTAAGGCCACAAGGGAAGAATTATACATGCCCTTTGAAAGTAACATCACGATCTCATGTTCCCAAGATGCTAGATGTGGAACTACAGGACTCGTTTGCTCAGCTGGATTTTGATTTGTTTTGGTCCCATCTCTTCTTTCTATGCCTCCATGTCTCTATTGTGAAATGAAAATGTTTACTCTGTGCCATTGAATATTGGTACAATTTACTTTTGATCTTGGCTCAAAATCAAGAGCTTGCTAAAGTCTCAAATGAGATTCTTGAACTTGGACTTTCGGTAATGCTGTACCTGTTAAGACTATGGAAATGAACTTATGTATTTTTTATATACATAGTTATGTAAATGAACTAAATGTATTTTTTACTGTGAGATGGACATGAGATCTTAGGGGGAGCAGAGGAGGAATGTTATGGTTTAGATGTGAAGTGTGCCCCCAAAGCTCACATGTGAGATAGTGCAAGAATGGTCAGAAAATCCACTCATATGGATTAACTTGGTAGTAAATGTATGTAGATGGGGTGTAGCTGGAGGGAGTAGGTTACTGGAAGTTTAACTTTTGGGTTTATATTTTGTCCCTGGTGAGCATAGCACGTGCTTGTGCTCCACCTTCCCATCTCTCTATCTTTCTCTCCCTCTCTCCCTCTCTTTCTCTTTCCTCATTGCCAGGTCCTGAGCTCCTCTCCTCTGCCATGCCCCTCTGTCATGATTTTCAGCCTCACCTTGGGCCCAGAGCTATGTATGGAGTTGGATGAACATAGACTGAACCTGTAGAACTGTGAGTCAAAATGAACTTTCCTCCTCTAAGTTGTTCCTGTCAGGTCTTTTGGTCACAGTGATGCAAAAGCAACTAAACCAGTACCAAAATATTTTATGAATATTAAAATACATAATATAACAAGCTGTTTGCTAATTTATTTTAGAAATGTGTGTGCAATCTTTCAATAGAAGTATGTGAAGGAATTTAAAAGGACTGAAAAGAAAAATAATGCAAGAGATTATTGTAAAGTTAGTGAACCTCCAAAAAGTTCCAAAAGTTATTTGGGGTAATGATTCAATAGTTTTAAAAATTTTAATCCATCTTGATTATGTATAGGTCTGTTCTTATTTTCTCTCACTCGCTTAAAGTTATTAAGTTCATAAAAAGATAAATCTACATTAATAAGAAAATAACCCTATAGACAAAGTTTTGATTTTTTCAACTAGATAGAATAGCTAAGGAATATAAGCAAGTTATTTATAACAAATTAATATTAGAAGATTAGGAGATAATATAAGAAAGTGGCTCTTGGGTTGACTATTATACCAGATAATACATGGATATAAAAAGGTAATTATGAAGATTGCTTTTGTGAAAAAAAATATGAATAATCACCTAGGACATGGAGACTGTGATGAAGAGACATTATCAAGGAAACTAAATATACATAGAGCATCAGGGTTGTGATTGATAAGTAAGAGTTCAGAGTTAGCAAACAAGAAGCCAGCAGGAGTCATGAAGGTGGTAAAGAAGACTTGATTAAAACAATGTTTCAGAAAGATTACACTGCAAAAACATTTATAAGAAATCAATAAAAGAGCATATAGAAATAAGTGACCAACAAAGAAGTTATAATAAATTATGAAGCAATGAGAACTGAACAAAAACAGAAATAGAAAAAGTAGTGAGAAAGATCTTGAATCTTCTTAGATCTTAGAATCTTCTTAGAAAGAATGCAGTGTCAGGGAAATAGAGCATTCAGAGGACTTGAGGGACACTAGATTAGTAGTCTTTTTAATAGTAGAAAGCATATTTTTGCAGCTAGGCAAACTTGTATACATGTGTAATCCCAATGACTCAGGAGGGTGAGGCAGGAGGATTGCAAGTTCAAGGCTATCCTGGGCAATTTAGAAAAACCCTTTCTCAAATTAAAAAAATTAAAAAGGACAGGGGATGTAACTCAGTGCTRTGGTGTCCCTGGGTTCAATCCCTAGTACCTTAAAAAAAAGAAAAGGCAGATTTTACAAAGTGGCTTATAATTGATGGCCACATTCAAAAACCTTATGACTAACTATGCCAAGGGACTCTGCTCATCATTCTGGAAATCACTAAGATTCTCTATAGACAATTAATTTTTAACCTAAGGGAACTTACTGTCTTGAATAGGAGTTAAGGCAGATTTTTAAACTTACCAATATACAAAGGAGAGTTTTCAGATTTGGCAAAATCTTCTATATAGGAAATACCCAAAGGCATGATGGGGGTTTCACCCATTCCACGTATAATATTTCCTACCAGTACATATACCCACATTAATGACTTAACTTCCTTCACACACTCTGCATTAAAATGAACAAATAAAAAATTGCATTAGTGCTTGCATAGTGTTAGTTAGTGACAATTAATTCAAAGTTTTCTTTAAGCATTTCATAGTTCTTATATGCCCATGACATCTTATCAATAATTTATCTACTTGGCCAGCAATGAATCATTGGGTCACCCTTATTGCATTTTGTGTGTGTGTGTGTGTGTGTGTGTGTGTGTGTGTGTGTGTGAGACTGCTTAGGTATGGACAAGTATAAGTGGTGTGCTGGAACCTGTTCTTTTGGGCTGGGAGAAAAGACTACATATACCTTTTCCCAATTCAATATTTAGTGTCAATTCTTTTTGGCAGTTTGATGGGAGTATTTACATCATATAGAATTTGGCAAACACCAAATATCAGGCTTACCCCAATCCCCCCAAATTTAGCTTACCAGTAACTACTGGTCCCAGTTAACAGCTATGAGTGTTATCCCATTCCTATACAACTTTGGGTAGAGAAAAAATACACATACACAAATATATCTCCCCATAATTCATATCACATTTATTTAAAACCAAGTTCTATTCAAGATTGAATTTTCTACAGCTGATAACTTTATAAAAACTAAAAATATTTAACTGAGAAATAATCACTTTATTTTCTATGGAGACTACTGTATACTGAAACTACCAAAATCTTTTAACAATACCACCTCAATCCTTGGAGAAATACCTTCTTATTAGAATWATAAAGACCAGGTCCAAGGGAATTCAAAAGAAAAAACAAAAAAGAGAGCTCTCTGAAGACTTAGATCTACCTTTTTGCCATTTTTGTTCTAAGACAAAAAAGCTGCCAAGCCTTAAGGAAACACTGTAGGGTCATGTTTTCAGGAGAGTGAAAGACAAGGTACTTTCACCTCCTGTAAACTGGCCAGGCGTTGTTCACAAACATCAGGGTCCTGAGCAAAGTTGTATCCTGCAGTTTTTTGAGAAGTCTACCTCAAAGTCATTCCCAGTCCCAAAACATCATAGTCTCCATTTCTGGAGATTTGTTTGTTTGTTTGTTTTCCCCAATGATAAGCACAATGATTTGCATCTAGAGATCACAGACAAATCCTAGGCTTACTCTAGGGCAAAACTGAAGATGTTAAGTGATGAAAGAATGAATGCACTTTCCTGGAGATGCACCAAAGAGGGGAGGATTTGCTGCCCCCACTGTAATGCAGACTAGTGCCTGCACAAGCTTTCTGCAAAGCCAGAGTGAGTTCAGGCTACTGGTAATGTTTTCCCTTTTTTTTTCTCAGTAGCTTCTTTGGCTTATCTCTTCTGAGACAGATAGTCTTTAACTCTAATTCCATAATGGCAGAGAGTTCCCAGCTATCAGGACTACTGCAACTTCCACTGTCACAAATCCAGGATTTAAATGTCCCCATAAGAGGAGGAGAAGTTCTGGCTTGAGGTAAGTCAGCAGTCATATCCAGACTAAGTGTCACTAGAAGATTATTTAGATCCCTTAGCATATGAAGGAGCAGAGGCTAGTGTGCTGTTGCAGTTTTGTGCTAAAGTGTAAAGTCAAGTCTCTGTTAAAGAAGGTCAAGGAGATGGAAAAACAAATCCCCATTAATAGAAAGGGAATAAAGTAATTCCAAATTTTAATATACTTGCTGCTTTCCTAGCTATAGAATATCAGTGATATAATACAAAGCTTTAGAACTTTTTTCTCTATTTGCTATTTGCATAATTGTAGAAACCAAATAATGAATATAAATTCATCCTTCAAAGTAATTTTTCTTTGTGGGATTAACTCTATAGTGGTCCTGGGATGGTTATCATTGACTCATTTTTTTTGTTTTTCATTTTTTGCTGTACATATTGGAGATTGAACCCAGTGTCTTACTCATGCTAGGCAAGCTCTCTACCACTGATCTACATTTCCACACCTCTTTGACTCATTTTTAAATAACCATTTTAAGAAACAGACAGGGAAATCTTACTAGATACAATGAATAAGGGATAATATTCTATATTATTAGACATTCCTATTCTCCCTCTTGTGATCCTCTCAGAATCCCAGAAGAGAGAAAATATCTTCTGTTCATTCACCAAAATCATTTAACTAAACCCAATATTTTGTCCAAAAGACCAGTTATGAATTCACTGGACAGAATGCCATACAATGAAGTAAACAACCTGATGGATCTTGTGTTGGTCTTGAAGTCTGGTTGCCATTTTCCATACACAAGAAACTGTTTGAGGACAAGTTGCTTGAAACTGAAACTGTAGATTCATATTCATATCTGTATGAATATGGGGAAAACATATTTATGTTAAAGAATTAATGAGGACAATGTGGGCATTTTGCAGATTACTAACTCCTGCTTCACTTCAGCCACAACATTCAAATCCTATAAAGATGTCTTTTCATCTTTGTTACTCTAATGATCATAAATTAATATCATCAAAAGAATCAAATCGGCTGCTCATTGAAAATGTAGACTCCCTTTACAGTTAGCTTTCAATTCTCTACATGTCAATGTTATACCTTTTAGATTATCTGACATCAACCATCTGTGGTTTTTAGGTGACCATTTCCTGGAAATGATTAATATGGAACAAGGAACAAAAAAACTAAACTGAAATAGAAAACTCAACATATAATTAAGAAAATAAAGGCTTTGGTGGGGAGGGGGACAATCTCTACCTTTGGATTCTCTGAAGTTTGCTCATAAGAAGCATAACCATGAATTCTGAGAATCCAAAAATAATTACTCAATGTGTTCATTAACTCCTAAAAAAGGAAAAAAAAATTGTCCATCATAATGAGGGGCCTTGGGAGAATCTCAACTATCAGCACAGCTTAATGTAATGTTTTTTCCTCTTCTCACAAGAACAAAAGGGTTAATAGATTGTGACCATTTAATTTAGGCAAATTACCACAGGATCCAAATATCCTTTATCAGAAAGTAAATTACATACTACAAGATTGTAGGAAATTATGTCCAACTGAGTCTCTCTTTGTTAGAAATTATTCTGTTTTTTTTTAATGTGTATATTAGATAAGAGAAAGCCAAAAGAAAACTTCCCCTTCTTAGTTGTATATGAGCTAGAGTGTTATGCTTGGATACCCTCAGTAGTCTTTAATTTCTGTGCTACCGGATATAATACAAAGGGTTGAAATACCTTCTCCTTAGAACAATTGCCCAGTCATGCCCATAGAACATGGCTGTGAACTGTGAACAAAGGTTTCTATTTCCTTACTGATGAGCTCATGAGACATAAGAACTTCAAAGAAATAAGACCTTTGGCAGATGGTGGAACAAATGTAAATAACAGCCGAATATTACTTGATATTACCTTAGATAAGATAGAAAATAAAAGATCAGTAAAAACTCTTTGCCTGAAAACAACTGATCCCTTCAAAAATACCCGAGAAGATAAAATAAAATAATTTGTTGATTTTATTTATATACTTAAAATTTAGTCTCTTATTCAAAGTCCATTTATTCATAAACACCAACCAAATAGCAATAAAAGGATTTTAAAACGAAAAATGAAAAGGCACAATTCAACAAGGTTAAAAAGACTGGGAGATCTGACAATAAGGCGGAGTTTGAAGAAATGTGGAAAGTGGGAAAGCAGGTATAGGTATGTCAACCGTGACTGAGTGGGAGAATGAAAAATATAGTCATAAGTGTCTACAGGGGAGCGCTTAAACACATGCTGTACATCTCTAGAAAGTTTCAGGCAAGATACCTAAAACTGTAAGTGTGCATGACCCAAATTTCAAATGATTTACACACTTTGTTTTAAAGTGTACATAACATGTCCATTGAGTCTAAAGTCTAAACAGGCATACTGAGGACAGGAAGGCCATGCTAAAAACTGAGTATTCAATAAAATAGAAAAACTGCATACTAAAAAATGAGGTTACCATTCCTACCATCTGGTAGCCAAGCTTCTACCTCCCAAACAACAGAAAGTAGAATCCTTGCCTAGGATAATTAATTAACAGGTGACGCCCAGTTCTGAGCCATCTGAAAACAATCAGTCCTTACCCTATGAAAAAGTCCTCCATTAATCAGGACAAACATGGAATTTCTAATTAGCTTATTGTTGCAGTTATTCCTCTCTTAAATATGAATAACCAAGAACAAGATATATGAGGGACACTACAGTGGTAAAGACAGAGACAAACAAAAACACTTGGAGGAGCCAGAGACAATAAAGACAGATGAAGAAAATGTAGATGGGAAAAGATATTGCCTTCTTGAAAGAATAAGATGTTCCTCAAAATGCGATATTCAAAAAACAAAGGGGTCCTTGAAAATAAAATTAAAAAATATGATAGTATAAATTAGAAACCCATCCAAAGGTTTGGAAAACTCATCTCCCAGAAAGTAGAAGGAGATACACCATAAAATTAGAGAAAGAAGATGAGAAAAACATAAGTTTTACCAGGATATCCAATATTCAAATAGTAGAAGTTGTAGAAAGAGAAAAAAGAGGGGTAAAGAGAGGGAGATATTATCTAAGGAATTTCTAAGTAATTTCCCCAAATGTCCACTGAAAGCACCTAGCACAGAGGAGGAAAAGAACTTATGCCAAAATTATTATGAATTTCTGACTCTAGAGCTTAAAAGAAAAATCTCAATATTTCCCAGAGAAAAGAAACTAGTCACATAGATTAGAATTGCATAGTATTCTTAATAATAATAACACTGAAAAGAAAAAATTAAAACAGCACTTTTGAATGGTTTCCAAACTATAAATCAAATGTGGAAGTAAAATAAGAATATATTCAGATGAACAAGGTTTTAAATATTATTTTTAAATACTTTCTCAGAAAGTTACTAAATTAGTTTCTGGGAAAGTATTTCCCAGACAAAAATGAAACCCTTCTGACTGCACTGAGAGGGCAACTGCTCTACCAAAATGGTAAGGAATTAATGAAAGATACAAAGAAAGCTAATCAAAAGAAAAAGTCAATTATTATATCAGAAAAAAAGTTATATAACAGAAAAAAACAACATGATTCAGTGGTGAAAAGTATTTTCAAATAATACAAATGTAAATACTGCATATGATTTTAGAGTAGGAATTTTATAGTACAATGAGGTATTAAAAACTAACAAAATACAGAGGCAAACCCCCAAAAGAGCTAAGGCAGTAACAAGGTTCCAAGTGGTTGCCCTTGGAAAGCAAAAATTAGAGGCAGGGGACAACTCTTTCAACATAATTTTATTTTTACAATCTTGTACATAATTATTTTGGTAAAAATTAAAATAAAAATTAACATTCAGACTGTTCTCTTTGTGACCTACAGTTAAACAGGACCTTATTGCAATCAGAAGTGTCTAAATAGTCCCGAGGAAGGAGTAATTCCCAAATTCCGGCAGGTCCTAAGTATTTTTTCATCAGATTCAATCTCATGAAAGAGGTGTCCCAAATCCCTATTTCATGGATTGACAAGGTGTAATTGTGTGAGTGGAAGTGAGGCAGCCAAGGGCACAGGACAGAATTCATTTATTCCAGCTCCTACTTCACTATTGTGTTTTTTAGGAAACATCACTCCCAGAAGGGGAATTACAAGCCTCGGTTCTTACAGATAAAAAACAAACCTAAAATATCATCAAAGACTGGACTACTTACCGGTTCATGAGGAAATGAGGTAGCGATATTAAGAAACACCCTAATCCCATAACCACACATCCAACACCAATCATTATAGGTCTATGTAGTTTAGTTCCAAAATAACTCACAAATATAATCAACAAAAGATTTCCTAGGGAAAAAAATTGAGAATGCTTATTTCAGTAGGTATTAACAAAATCTAAATAGCTTCGGTCAGTCATTTATACAATAGTATTTACTATCTAATAACCATCACAAGTACTGGGATTGATACTCAGGATGCATAAAACTTTTAGAATTTTTTTTTTTTTTTTTTTAGTTCTYGGCAGACACAACATCTTTGTTGGTATGTGGTGCTGAGGATCGAACCCGGGCCGCACGCATGCCAGGCGAGCGCGCTACCGCTTGAGCCACATCCCCAGCCCCACATAAAACTTTTAAGTAAGTAAGACAAAACTTCTGTACTAAAGGAGGATTCTGTTTCACAATTAAGACAGATACATAAACAGATCTCTGTGGAACATCACCATTTAAAGAGGGCAAAGGAAAGGAAGCTAATGAAAGATACTGAACAATAATTCTGGGGAATTTTAAACCTCTGTGATTATCCAACCTTGGGAAATAGGACACAAAAGTAGATAACAGCTTGTGTGTGACCTCTGGCCTCTCCTTCTATGCCTATTCCATAAAAAAACAGGAATGGAATTAAAAGCTGAAAGAACCAAAATGTAAGTAGGTTCTTGACAAACCGTACATTGTTAATTCAATAAACAATATTTACCCTGATTCCACTATGTGTAAAGAAAACCTCTATGATAAGCTTAAGGATTATAAAAATTTCAAAAAAATCTTTTCCTCAAGGACTTAATTTTCTAAGTAGTGTTGAATACTTTGAAGACTTTTCTTTCAATCTCTGTTTCTCTCTAGTCTGCCTTACATATAGAACAGAAGTAGTGTTTACATTATTTTACATGGAAAGTGTCCCACATCTATAATCACATTGGCCTCTCCACATCTGTAAAATTCCCAGTACTAATGCTATCCTTGTTGAAGGTAATGTCTATGGAAGCTCACTGAAATCTGTAAGTTTTTGTAAATGAAGAAAGGAAGAGCTTTCCTTGCATACATAAGTTTGAGTTCATCTTTCACGTGGCCTTGCTCTGTCAGTAAAATCATTGCCATAAGGACATAGGACAAGAGAAGTGTGGACAAGGCTATGGAGAAGGTGCTTATAAAAATAACCATTGGGGAATTCAAGTGAAGTCATATAACTTACTTCTGTTTTTCTCCCTCAGCAATTTATTTTGGGTCTTCAACATTCTCAAGTCACCTATTACATCCACTCGTGGTAGAAGTAGTTAATATTTTATACTTTGTTAAGAAATTTAGGGCAATGAAATATTATGGTATCTGGTTTTCCCACCCTGGGGCCTTACTGCCTTCCTTCAGTTTCAGAGGTATTGGTGCCCATCTGACCATCCAAGTCCAAGCACAACATCCATTTTCTCCAGCAATTCATACTAACAATTAAAATCTCCCTCACATATTTTAAACCTCTCACTCTCACTAAACTTTAATCTACAGATGTCTTAACTAGTTTCTCTCTAAACTTCCAAGAACATTCATCTATTCTTGCAGGTTCCATATCCCCCCACCTCCCATTCTTTCCTGAAGTCACTGCTGTCTCCACTACTTTTAAGCTTCTATTCTTCTTCTTTTTTTTTTTTTTTTTTTTTTTTTTTACGGTGTTAAGAGATTAAACTCAGGGTCTCACATGTACTAGGCAAGCACTTTTTACCATTGAGCCACATCCCCAGCCCTACTTTTTGCTTCTAAATCTACTGTTCAATTAAAAGTGCTTGGCACATGTCATTGATTACTTCAACACTATGAAACGGTGGAAACAGTTCTCCATCCTTATCTAATTGAATATTTCTAATGTTTTCAACACTGTTGACACATCCTTTCACATGAAATTGAAATACATTGTTTATTCTGGAAATTTCTACTCCCCTGGAATCTATAGTACCATTCGGTCTTGTCTATTTCTCCTACCTTTCTTTCTCTTAACACTTTCATGGGTTCTTTTTCTCCCATCTCTGGCTTAAACATTGGTACAATTCCAGGATCCACTCTTTATCCATTGTACTTACTCATTTGTATGTTTCACTTTGCAGTGCTGGAAATGGAGCCAGGGATTCCCGCATGCCAGGCAAGCATTCTATCACTGAACCACATTTCTAACTCCTGTCCATTGTACTTATCCTACATCCTCTCCCTGAATAGACTCATCTACTCTCTACTCTTAACAAACACCTACTTACTCACTATTCAATAGCTCCAGCCCAGGTGGTTTCTCAGTGCTTTAGACCTGTAACTGCAATGTCAAGATCACTACCCAAAGGTCTCACAGATACCATCATGAAAAAATCGCCTAAATAAAGCTCATCATCATCTCCACAGCCACTACCATTATCTTGCTCCTCTTCCTATATTCCTAGCCTTGACACTACTATCCTTGCCACTGTCCAAGTTGGGAAGCCCTTGTCCTTACCTGCCTCTTATATGTCATCAGGTTCTCTGGAATTTAACTCCCAGATTATTTTAAGTCACTCTCTTCTCTTCATTCCTATAAGTATGATCCTGGCTCAGACCCAGATACTTCTCCCTTGGCTTCAGCATCAGCCTCCTGGACCCTCTCTATCCTCTATCTGGTTTTCTACCTTCAAATATATCTCAACTCAGCCATAAGCATTTCCCTTCTAAAATGTGAATCTGACATGGCTTTAAACAGGGATTCTTAGTAATGGGTAGAAATCACAGATGACATGAACTTGAGTGAGAAAAAAAAGTTGCATCTTTATTTTCACTAATCTCTATTAGCTTTTCCATTGATGGTAAAAAGTAGGCAATAAAATAAAATAGCATTAACAGTTTTTATGATTTTGTCACCAACAGAAATATAGATATTTGCATGTAATTACAGTTGTTGTAGATGCTCAAATATTATTAACACCAATAATTAGTTGAAAATTAGTGCTAGATCTTGTTTAATGTGTTAAAATCCAGGACCATTATTTAAAAAGCTGTTTTTATATTTTGATATAATGCTATTTCAATATATTTGGCTTCCTTTCTACTGCTATAGTTTTTTGTTTTATGAAATTACATTATTCTGAGATCATACGGCAACAGATTACCAAAGAGGTGCTTAGCACAGAAGACCAACAATACCCTTTCCGATCTCTATTGACTCTCCCTCACCCCGAGACTAAAAAATATACTCCATAACAATTCCATAAGTCTCTGCCCATTTCTCACCCTTATACACCCTACCCACGTCTCCAGGTTCACATCCTAACAATTTCCACCTCAAGCTTGACTACCCAACAATACTGGGCTGAAGATTTCTCCCCACACAAGCTACTGTGCTGTTTCACCCTTGTGCTGCTGCTTCTATTGGAACTCCCTTCACATTTACCTAATACCATTTTTTCACCTGGAAAACTTTTACTCATCTTTCAAAAGCCTGTCTTTCCCAAATAAGGTTGTGTCCCCTTTCCTGTTTCTATAGGATCGTGCATGCATTTATGAACAATATTTATTGCATTCAAAATTATTACTTTGCACCTATGCCCTCCACTAACCTGTGAGCTGAGTCTATGCAAGGAGTGTATGCCAGAAATCTATGCAGGAGTTAGTTCTAACTATTGGAGTTAGGAGAGTCAGAGTAATATCTGAGATAGTTCTGACTTTATTGCCAGGACACAGGAGAATCAGAGTAAGATCTGAAGCACCTGACCACAGAAGATCAGTCATCCCAGGTTTCAGTTTTGCTTCTCCTCAACCCTGGTTTTTCTTCACATTTTGGTTAAATCTATAAAAGGCAATTTTTATCTTGAAAGAAGTAGAAGCTATTATAAATCTGCAAAGGAGTAGCATCACTATTTCTATGTAGCATTGTTTACAGAAATCTTTTCCTCCCTCATCTTTGTTCTCACAAATTCCCAGTTACCCCAAAAATTAGAACCTAAAAGTAAACTTCATTCTTCCCCATGGGATGTTTCTAAAATAAATTCAGAGAGAGACAGGAAACTAGTTTCTTCTTCTTTTTTAACTTAGAAAGGAGATTTGTCAACCTCCCTGGCATAAAAGGAAAAGAAAAATATTTGTGTTTTCCTTTGAAAAACAAATTCCTTTGGTCTCCCACAATACATGCTAAATTCAAAGATGACAACCTTGTTTCCCTCAGGGCTCTCAAATGATAGATTTAAAGATAAATACTCTGTTACTCATGTCATGCCAGATAGCCAAGAAACTATTAGGATAAAAAAGATAGTGGTGCGATATGTAGCAATATTTAGGTATTAATTTGAGGTAATATTTAAATGGATTGTTTGTAAGCATATCATAAGTTTAGCCAGGCTATTCAATCAGTTTTAAAAAACATGTAACTCAGTTAGATTAAATGGCTTAAAACAGTAAATAAAGAGAATAAAATTCAGAACAGCTCATAGATAAAACAAAATATAAACACAAGTAATGCAAAAATAATTCATTACCAATTTCAAAGCTCCCATTAATAAATCCAACTAGAGATGTCGGGATATTGAATTGTCTCTCTACTTGTGTGAGCATGGAATTCATGTAAGATCCAGATAGTGTTTTGGATACATATGCACAAGTTAATGCCAACAAAAACATCTAGAAAGAAACAAATAAGAAAACTTTATTATTAAATTATATTTTCATCATCTATTGGGAAAAAGTCCTCTGCCATTAGACTATCTCCAACTTAAGTAACCCGTGAGCTTGCAAGAAACTTTAAAACCTGATCTGTTCTTCTGGTCTGTCATGGCATGTTTTCTCTAAAAATTCAAAGTGGGACTAAATGACTAATGGCACTGAATTTTGTAGGTAGTTACAGTCTCATTATTTTATAGGCATACCTTATACATACAGAGAAACAACTAGTTATTCTAACACACAGCTGTTGATTCAAACGTCTTAAGCACTACAATGCTATCTGTTGTACAAATGAATACATATACTTTATGAAAATAAGGAATACAGAATCAAACAAAGACACTGTTGATGTAGCAAATCTGTTCAAGTTCTCTCTGCAGGAGGACGAGTTCCCAGATGACCTTGACTAATCCAGCTCTTCCTCCTCTCTTGCTTGAAATTTCTGGGCAGAATTATTACAATCTCAGTAACATAGGAAATGTCCAGGACAATCTGAAGTATGCCTTCATTTTCCCCAGCACAGGATGTTCTATAATATTTGAGCTCAGCAAACAAAATGTTGCCCATGATATATAAACCCAAGGTCAAGCACTTTTGGGGTCCCTCAGCTGTGGAAAAAAGGTAGGTCTATGCAGAGATGAGACTCCATCTTCTCTGGGTGGTTTTCTGGGTGTTGAGGGACCAACTCACTACAGATCCCAGGCTTCTGTTTATCTTTACTACCTGCCTGTGAGAAATAAATTAATTTTTCCTGATGTGTTGTATGAGTGTTCTTTTCAGCAACTCATAACTCCAACAGCTGGGTTTATGCAAAACCTCCAGTCAGATTTAGGAACTTTTATAGTCTCTTATTCAAAGTAACATGCAGATTATATGATGTCAGATTTCTACTTACTGGTAGTAAATTTACTTAAAGTAATATTTTCATTACAAACCATATGTAAATATGTCTTTAAATTGAACAGGTTCTTTTTATGATAAATAAATATRCATACTACAAATTTCTACATCTGAATCAATCATATCTGCTACATAATTAGTTCCAAAAAGCAGTGATGTTGATGCCTTCTTGCTTTTCAGTATTGGGGATCAAACCCAAGGCCTCACACACACTAAGGAAATGCTCTACCATTGAGCTATATCCCCAGCCCTTTTCTACCTTATTTTCAGACAGTGTCTCACCAAGTTGCCCAGCTGGCCTCAAACCTGCCATCTTCCTGCCTCACCCTCACTAATTACTGGAATTATAGGCATGTGTCCCCGTGCCTAGAGAGGTAGGGAGGAGGGTTGATGCCTTTCATATAACATCAAGGAAAACTTCAAAATTAGAACTATTGTGATCAACAGAACTAGTACAATTTTATTTAAAATGTAAAAAAAACTAAATTTCTGATAGGTTTATTAAATCAAAAAAAGATATCTTTTAGCAAGGATTTGAAAACAGAAGCATATTGGGTACTAGTATAGTTAGGAAGATTAATTCCTGCATCAGAATCAACAGAATATGGAATATTTATGTCAGTCTGAATGGTGGTTTCCAGTCACATGCCATAAGACTTTTTCCTTGCCCATATTTAAAGTTACTTCCTGATGATATTTCCATCTCAGACATCATTTTAACCTACTTTAGCCATCATTTTCAAATACCTAAAATCCTTACTCCACACACCCAATCTTGAGCCAACCCATAGTTTGTGGGCTGTCTCATGCATTCCCTTCAAAGTTACTTACAACTTTATTCTTTGTTTCAGTCTCCAACCCAGTCACGTACTCCTCCATGAGCAGAAAATGATTATCAGCAACTTCATTGGAAAAGTTAGCTCTATCCCTATCCCTTCTAATTTTCATCTAGTTCTAGAATAAGTATTCTTTATCCTATAAAATAACATCCCTTCATCCATGCTCCTAAGTGTATTTTTCCCATTTCTGAAATGAGTCATCAATTATCGCTCCCTCTCCTCTCACTTCTTACTGCCTCTCTCCCCCCTGTAACTTAATAATGCATTCAAGATACTTCTGTGTCTTTTGAAAACAATATATTCCCTCATGCCTGATGGTAGATGTTTAGAAGAATAATATATATTCATTGCATACATTATTTATCCTTCATTCAGCTTTCAGTCTGCTATATAATCTGGCGTATTCTGAAAGTATTACATAAAAAAATCAGAAAAAACTTCCTAAGTTCCAAATCCAATAGACAATTGGATAGCCAATCATTGACTTATTTGATGTCTCCAAATTATTTGTTACCATTAATGTCTCTTTTATTCCCCAAATTCCCTCCTCCCACACATACCTAAATCTATGCTTACCTGATAGACTCTATCTACTTGGTTTTCTCTTTGGCTAACACATTCAAACTTTAGTTTGTATTTTCTACTCTTTCTGTCATGCATGTTCTCCCAAGAAATATTATTCCCAGTGCTCCAATTGTATGCCTACCTCTAATATAGCCCCTATCACAGTCCATTTTATCTATGTGTTTGGATTCTTCCCTCATTGTACTGTGAATAATTCAGAAATAAGACCAAATTTTACTTGCTTTTGTGTAATTTATGCCTAGTAAGTGGCTAGTGTAAGCATCTAAGACATGTTTATTGAATTAATGACAGAATATCAAAAACAACCTGAATAAACAGTCAGTATGAACTAAAAATAAAATGAAATCTAATGGAGTCAAACATTGTCTTAATCCATTTCAGGTGTAATAACAAAATACCATAAACTGGGTGGCTTATGAACTATAAAACTTTATTTCTCACAGAAATACAAAGGCTAGGAATTCCAAGATCAAGGCACTTGAAAGTCTGATGTCTGGTAAAGACCCACTTACTGATTGTAGGACAGCTGTCTTTTCATTATGTCTTTACGTGGTAGAAGGAACAAGAGGTCCCTTGAAGTTCTCTTTTAAAAGTGCCTGATTTCACTCATTAGGGTTCCACCCCTGTGACTTAATTATCTCCTGAAGGCCTTACTTCTTAGCATTATCATCTTGAGGGTGGGATCTGAGCATGTGACTTTAGGGATCACAGACATTCAGATCACAGCATACACCTAAGCCAAAGGTTATCTGAACCCATTAGTCTAGTGAAATCTGAATATAAATTTTTATGAATAAGACCTGGGAAATTTTAATATCAAGCATAGCATAAACCACAACTATTATATAGCTGCAAAATACTGTAGCTATGTCTCCAGCTATTTAAGTTTTAATATTAAATATCATTCATGGAACTTCTCTCTTCTCACTATAAGCTTTTGCAGATCATATTACTGAGACTATACAACTTTCACATGACTTTATAATTCAGGTCTCATATTTAAAATCAAGGTTTTACCAAATCAAGTACAAATTTGACTTGGGAAAATATTTTTTTCTACTTACCATTTTAAGAAAGAAAACTAGAAGGATCATAATCCCAGTGTTCTTTCCTTAAAACTATTAAATGAATTCACTAAATTGAATCTATTCACAGAGTGAAATAAGCCAGTGGTAGTGGCATTCTAAGTCTAATGTTAACCTGTATACACAGCTAGTTCATATATATATATATATATATATATATATATATATATATATTCCTACTAACTTTTAACAATTATGTTCTAAAGTTTGAAGCAAATTTGTTAAAGACAGTCCTCTGATGCTTCCTAAAGAATTTTGCTTAATGAGAATATTTCAAAATTCAAAAAAGTAGAGAAGTCCAATGGATTATTAAGAAGTTGCCTCTTATTTTTACTTGCTAAACTTGTGGTTGCAATATTTTGCCATAACATTCACATCAGTATATAATCTTGCTAAACTCCAAAGTAATAAAAAATAAAATTTAAGACCTATTATTTATAAATATGCCTGACAACTTTTCTGCACAAATACTAGTAATAATAAATATTTGAAATATTCATAATTTTTCCTAGCATCAAAAAACTCCTACAAAATAGGATGATTGTTATTATACTTTTCAGATGAGAAAAATTAAGCACAAAAAGGTTAAATAAGTCACACAATGTTATACAGAAAATAGTATCTGGACACAGATAGGAACCTAGAGAATTCAGACTTAGATTCTTATTTTTAACTAGTCAATTACAGAAGATCATGAGAATTGAAGAATAATTTAAGAGGATTTTTTATAGTTAACATGGCATTTCAGGCAAAAGTAGTTTTCTAGATCTATATTATAACTTTCCACTGTTGTGTACATACACAGATTTGACCCACACATGTGTAATGGGAAAATGAGCTTTTGATAGGAAAATGAGTACCAGTTTCTTAGGAAACCACTCTCAACAGGCACTAGCTGTGGAATTAAGACAAATGYTCAAATCCCCAGGTTGAAAATAAATATAATGAATATAAGATACTTTTGGAGCTTAAAAGAAAGAATTTGCTCTAAAATAGTCAAAACCATCAGAACAGCTAACAAAACCAGTATTTTTCTTGTAGACAATGATTGTTATAATGCCAAAGCTTGAAGAAAACATTTGTTTTACTGGGTCATTGTGAAGTAATCTTAGCATACTAACAAAGCATTTCTGTCCAATGAACTATTTTCTAATACTAACCCCACATACTTCTCTGGAAGAGAAACCCCTGAAGGGTGAGCATTATATTAGTGTCCCTCAAAATCATTCCTCAAAATTAATTAATTATTAAGTCCCTCAAAATCATTCCTGATTAAATTGCCAATATCAGTAATTTTATTTAGACACTCTTGGTTACAAAACCAACTTCTTTAAAACAAGAAATTATCAATAGATAAGGCAATATGACATTAATGTTAGATCATTTCATGTAGATATAAGCAGTTTTACAGGGACTAAGTTTAAGAAAAACACTTTACATATATATATGTATGTGTATATATATATATACATATATATACATATATGTATATGTACATATACATATATATATGCCAAAAAACTCCATACCTTCACCTTGGAAAGACATTTTATTCTGTGGGTTTCGATCCTTTTCTCAGTTTCTCCCATGTTGCTCTTCTGATTATTCCAAGATATTTATGTTTTAAATCTTGATATGTCTTAGTTCTATCTTTATAAGAAAACAGAAACCTATTAAATTACTGACAAAATMATATCATCATTCTTTTGAAAAAGCATTGAATTTGAACAACATATATGGAATCTACTGTATTAAACAAATATCTAGGAAGTTTTTGATTCAGATCTAGTAAATAATGGGATTAGAGAAGATACAGTTTTAAATTTCTATTGAAAAAATTACTTTAACTATAATCACTCTTTATTTGCATAATTCATTATCATCCCCTTGCAAATAATGACTATATGGTTAAATTATAGCTTTTCTCTTCTTTAGCCAAAACAAACAGACCAAAGTGATCTCCCTGGACTCACTTGAAAAGTGCTGCTTTTAATAATACAAACACTTTGGTTTGTTTAGTGCCAAAAATCTGCTTCAGCAAGCACACAAAGGCTCACAAATCTTTACTTGGCCAGGCTTCCTCCTCAAGTTCTTTGCATTCCAAGACTTCCCTGGCGTCTCAGGAAGAGAAATGCTTTTTGGGGCACTGTTGATTCACAGAAACCTGGGGAGACAAGGAATTTTAATCACGGAAATAGCCTCAGTAAAAATAACAAATAATTCTACAATCTGAGAAAGAAACCTACAATTCCAATTGAAGATGTCAAGTGTAATAGAGATGAAAAATAAATGGAAGGGTGTGTGTGTGTGTGAGATATACATTTGAATAACATTATACATATGATATATATGTAATAGATATCTACATGTATATATAATATATAGGCACAGATTTTTTTTTCAGGACTAGGGATTGAATCCAGGGGTACTCTACCACATAGCTRCATCCTCAGCCCTTTTTATTTCTTATTTTGAGACAAGATCTCCCTAACCTGCCTGGGTTGGCCTTGACTTTATGATTTTGCTGCCTGAGCCTCCAGAGTAGTTGGGTTTACAGGCATGCACCATCACAACCAGCCAGGCATATATTTTTATATGTAATAGAGGAAGAGGACTTAAATTCTATTAGTTTGTAATAACTTCTTCTCAAAGATTTTATTTATTTAGTGTCTAGAAAGAAGGACAATATTTTGCACCAAAAGGAAAATATTTTACTTTGATAATATTTATTCTAGCAATTGATATCAAGTTATAAGTACAATATCTTAACAGTATCCCCAGCATTAATATATTAAATATCCTTTGAATGATATTCATTTAATCAGTGATTCTGAATGGTACTAACTTTAACAAGTGCTGTCCCTCTCTAAATTTGCTGAATCCCAAATATACACATTAAAACAATCACCACTAAGCAATTATGTACAAGCTTAGCTCTCTCTTCTTTTGCCCTCCAGATTAAAGCACTGGAACTCAGCAGTGAACAAGACAGGAAAGATGTCCTATGGAGAACATAAACTAGTTGGAGAAGTCTAAGTCTTTGGGGAAGGCACTTGGACCCAGATCCCTAGGAACTTATACTTTTATTAAGAAAATAAAATTTAAATAAAACAGTGAAATAAAATCAGTGTATGATGTATTATAGCTTGTTTGGTTTGGAAATGGTAAAATAAAACAACATAGGTTATAGGTGAAAATTATAGAAATTCTCTAGGTCATAAAAATGAAACCATGCTGAAATTTCAAAATCACAAAAAAACTTCAAATCACCTTAATGTAATGCAACACTGGTATTGAAAAAACTGATAGAAAGGGATAATTTTCAACAGAGTAGAAACTGATGTGATTTAATCATATACCAAATATGGTTTAATCAGAAGCCTGTCAACTTTCCCCATCTCTTCTTGTGCATTTAGAATCCAATCTCTCTTCCCTGATTTTTTTTTTWWRAGAGAGWGWGASASRRGAGAGAGAGAGAGAGAGAGAGAATTTTTAATATTTAKTTTTTAGTTCTCGGCGGACACAACATCTTTGTTGGTATGTGGTGCTGAGGATCGAACCCGGGCCGCACGCATGCCAGACGAGCGCGCTACCGCTGAGCCACATCTCCAGCCCTCTTCCCTGATTTTTTGCCTTCTATCCCTTCTTGACAATATTTGAACCCAATTTAGTCACTCTATCAAACAATGAGATAGAGAATTTATTCCTTTTCCATGTCAAAGTTGTCTTCTCTTTTTTAAATGGCTAAAGCCATGACTATTCTAAATGTCTATTTTTCATATTGCAGCTAGGGGGCACAGAAGCTGGATTTGGTGCCCAGAAAATCCTCACATAGGGAATTTTGTAATTCCTTCCATGAATTATGTTACTACCTTACCATCTAGAACCAGTTTTGTCACCATACCTTGAAGACTTGTTTTAAAATGCTTTTATGGTATTGAGAAAAGTTTTATGAATAATTGGACTGGGATAAGAGGTAATAAAGTTAAACACATGGAAATAATTCAGTGTAAATAAATTAAACCTAAACTTTCTCTAATTTTACAGCTTGTATCATAAAAACATTTTATCCTTTTGAATACATTTTAAATGTTTTCCTGGAGGAAAATAAATGAACAAAATTTATTTCATTTATTCAACCCAGAATTCATGAAATCCAATACTTAATGTCACAGGCACCGTTGAGCACTTTGACCCTAAATCAGGAAGGCATGTAGAGCAAGTTCCAGCCATGTGAACAGGCCCCTTTTGTTAGCATAGTGTTGTTTACATGGTGACTTCTGTTCCCAGGATCACAGAGTGTCACTGACAAATCCCCATCAATCATCATTGTTAACAAAAACAACTTGCTGAAGTTTAATTAAGTGGATAATCATTTTATTTCTCTAACTCTTCAGCATACAAATGGAAACAGGTAATAGAATCAAGTAATGGAACAGGTAATACCCCCTCAAGCAAATGTGCTTGAATTTCTTCTGGTAGCCAGTTACAACTTTCAGTTGTTTTGTTTTGTTTGTTGTATTGTAGTTACACAAACATACATGCATACACACAGAGACACACACAAAACAGAAAATGTGCTCTCTTACAAAATTTTAAGGACACAGTACAGAATTGTTGACTATGTATATACGTATTGTTATACAGCCACTCTCTGGAACTTTTTCTATCTTGCATGACTGACACTCTACTCCCACTGAACAGCAACACTCTGGGGTTTTTGACACCCTTTGATTCTCAGCCCCTAATGAAATGTCTCAATAATAAGAGAATACATTTTWAAAAAATGAATACAGCTCATTTATGCTCTATATTGACATAGTTTATGATATTAGAAACCAACTGGGGAAATGCATGCATTTAATTTCATCTTATTCTTTACTACTGAATTAAAGAAATAAAGACTTTATCATGGCAAAGTACATACATGAAGAAGGCTTAGGAGATGATCCTTTCTCTGGGAAAAAAAGAGAATCACACCAGCAAAAACCTTATGAAAATCTCATATTTCCAGGATCTTCAAATAGCTTCTAGCTCTCTGAGAACAGCCTCTTGGGTGGTATCCAGTTGAAACAATTTCAGCCAATACCAAACCAAGCAAGCGCATGCCAAGGAAGTACGTGTAGAATCAACAATGACTTTTTGTATGAGGCCTAGCAAATTATTTTACTTCTATTTGTTCATTTTCATCAGAAATTAAAGACAAAAAATTATGGATTCTGCCTATCAGCCTCAGAAATGTAGGTAATATTTTATTTTCTATATTCAGAGGAGGAACCAATAATGCACAGCTCTAGGAAAAACTAAGTAAGAAACTGAACTTAGCATTAGAATATTATCCATACAGATGATCTCACCATGCAAAACAAAGTCTGGAACACAAACAGAATTCTTCATCAGCAATCAATTAAGCAGTAAAAACAACTATTCATAGAACATGAAACGGAGAAATCAAGCTAAAACCCGAATTCTGTCTTTAACAGAAATGGTTGTGAATAACATTAATGTCATATCCCATACCTAGCAATTCTAGAGAATGATTAGATTATTATGAGAATAACCAGTTTCCCACCCTGTGATAACAAAACACCCTCTTCGGCCTAAGTGTACTCAGACTCCCTTAAATCCTCTACATGCTGTTCAACCTTGCATTTTCTAGTTACAGCAAGAATCTTAAAGCCAGTTTAGAGAATCCTTCACACTTGATACCTGATAATCTGAAAATCTGATCAAATTCTTCATCCCAGGTGACATCTGATCACTCCGACCTTACTTCAGCAAGAATTCTGTGGTTTGATTAAACCAGAATCTGCACCCCCCATGCCTTTCTATTTCCTTTTTGTAATTTTCCATCCACTGACCCTCACTCTTCTCCTTGCCTATAAAGTCTCACTGCTCTGTGCTGTATTCAGAATTGGAAAAAGTTCTATATGAAAGTTGCTCTTCTGTTATTACAATAGTTCACAAACAAAATCTGTTTTTATCACTTTAACTACTGTCATCTCTGGTTTTTCTCTGAGAGAGATAGGAACTGTTTAATTTCTTCAGATTATGATCTCAAATCTTCTCTTTTTGTTATCTGCACAAAATTTTAGATACAAAAATATATATTTCCATTTAATTTTCTGCAAGTAAATACTGCACTTTTTCTTATAAAGATTTCTATGTTTCTAAAGATCCAAAAATAAATAAAATGCTTAGACTTTTTCCTAATCCATTTATTTATGTATTTTTTTCATTAACATTAGTGAATATAATGAGGTAGCTAGCTAGAGTCGGAATGTCAGACATTGGAATTCAGTTGACCTGAGTTTAATCCCTGATTAGCAGTGAGTTGTTTATAAACTCCTTCAGCCTATTTCTTTTATTTGTGATTTTAGAATGTTTATGTCTACCTTATAATACTGTCATGAAGATCGAGTTATAAAATTCACATCAGCTCCCTACTGTGGTGCTAAAATAAAACAGTCACTCCATCAATGACAGTGATTATTATTCATTCACTCCACAAATATTTATTAAGCCCTACTACATTCCAAACACAGCAGTAGGTGCTAGGGATACAAAGATGAATTCCATGTGCTTGCTCTTAAGAATTCTCATAAGCTATTGGGAGAGATAATTAAATGATAATATTGGCTAGTTACTGCCATAATACAGACAATTTGAGCTAAGTAGTAGAAAGAGGAGACTAATGAAAACTATTCATTTGGGCTGTCACTTGTAGGCAGCAGAATCATTTAAAGACGGGCTTTGAAATTAGGCATAAGTGTGAAAGCCTCTTTTTAAATTAGTTTTTAATTTTGTACAAGTAACTTAAACCTATAAAAATGAAGACAGCATCTTTCTTTTCAATGTCCAGACAGGAATATAGAGCTCACAATGGGTAATAAAGGAATTTAATATCAGAAACTAGTTACAAAGGTGTCAAAACTATCAAAAAGCCAAACTGGGAATAGTAGACAACTCAGAGATTTATAACACTGGAAAGTCACTCCTCAATCAAAGGTTGTATCAGAAAAAGAAAGGGCTCAGCTA